GGCAGAGGAGTAACCGGCCTCTTGGGGCTGGCTTTTGCGTCAGCAGTGGCGGTCATGGTCGTGCGTCGTCTACGCGGGATCCAAGGTGTCTAGGGTCCATGTTGGGGCTTGGTTTCCCTGGATCCGCGTTCAGCAAGTCGTTGATTGCGGCGCATCAAGTAATCCTGTCTTCATCTGCTGCTGACGTGTCACTACTGAGGTCGCACCTGCTGATGTGGCACTGCTGCGGTGGCCGCTGCGGATTTGGCAATCGGTTGTCGTGGCACGCTGAGGTGTCACGCTGCTGATGTGGCAATCTGCGTTCGTGGCCCGCTGCTGATGTGGCACAATGCTGATGTGGCCGGAGACTGAAGTCCGCAGTACCGAGAGGAGGAGAGAGAAGGTAGGGGTGGAAGAAGGGAAGGGAGGCAAACAATGCACAGACAGTCCCTTTCTTCCCTGACCTCGAACTTGACAATAGTAAAAAAAAAAAAAATTCTCCCCCCAATGAAATTTTCAAAATTTGAGAAATTAATTATTTAACTAAATAAATTTTAGTCGGAAAAATACGAGTTAATTAAATAAAATTTAATTTTGGCAAAATATTAAATATTTAATTAAAGAATATTTAAATTTGCAACAATTAATTTGGCAAAAGTTAGATATTTAATTACAGAATATTTAAATTTGCGCAAGTAAAAGTGAATAAAGTTTAAGCAAGATTAAACATTTAAACATAATTTTAATTTAATAATTTCATGAAATTTAAGCGGGAGAATTTATCATCATGACGAGGTCATGAGATAAGCAGAAGATCAATGGTAGTAGGAAGATACACAATTTGCTGGAAAGATTCAACCTTTAATCGCAATAAAAGATGCGTTTTTGCAAAAAGTGAAAGTTCCATGAAGTTGCAGTTTGAATGTGGCCATGCCCAGACCCGATCCGCCTTAATTGGCACGGTGCCTGGCTGTCACTTACTTCCCATAGGCTTGATAGGTCGTTAGATTAGGTTAGGACTAACCCTAATTTGCACTAATTCGGTTAATCGTGATTAGCGATTCCCTAATTTGTGCGCAGTGTGGAGAAAGCCGCCAAACCTAAAATTAGAATTCAACGACGTAATTACTATAAAAGTACGAGAAAAGAAAATTTGCAACTTGCGATTTAATGATAACAGAGTACAGGTGTAGATAATCAATCAATCAATCAATGGTGAGTCATCCAATGCTGGTCTGCTCCGATACCAAACTGTTGCATACTCATGAAACACAGTCATAAGTATGGCGCAGATCCCCAGAACCGACCAGATAATACAGAGTTAATACAAATACAGCGGAAGAGTTGATACCCATGGACTGACTCTGACCTGACTCAGACTGCAATCGAACACTCTCAATCATGCATCAGTGGTGTGAAAGCCCTGGCCTTGGACATAGAAGAARGGCCAGGGTCTGAGATCATACACRGACGAATGGAGGGAGARGAGAGACGAAGGGAGGAGGAGAGGGAAGATGACATCAACTCGATATGTCCAAAGATAGTATCTTGAAATGCCAAGAGTAGCGCAAATCCGAAATGTCGCGAACACAGAGTCCCACAGTGTCTCAGATATCCATCTCACAATGTCAAGGTACATCTTCAGAGGTAGATGACATCAGATCCCAAGAGTAGTCCTCAACCTACAGTCGCAATGTCGCTGTATCCAATATCATCAGAACTCGTAACCATCCTTCATACTCGTGGTAGTCCCGTAGGAGAACCCAGGAGTAGACTTAGACTGAGAAGGTAGGAGGGGAGAGAGAGAGAGAGAGAGAGAGAGAGAGCGGTGGAGGCAGAAGAGGGAGAGAAGGCAAGGCCTTCCTCCCTGGTACCTGATACGGTAGCTATGGCACCGCAGGGACTGGTGCTGGGCCGCGGGCTGGGCCGGTGGCTGACGAGGCTCCCAATGCTGCGCTAGGTCCTCTCTGCCGCTGAACTCCTTCTCTACTCGCTGCTCATGGTAACACTGCAGCGCTGCGCTAATCCAGCTAACGCTGAAACGCTGCGCTAATCCTGAAGAATAACCTCCTGTCTACCACTAACCTCCTGTCTCTACTAACCTACCGACTGAGGCTGGTACACAGCTGATATAGTGCTGGGTCGGCCTCAGTCCTACTGAGGGCCTTCGGGTCTGGACTGTTGATCAGGCCCAATGGTTCAGATCCGATATCGGAATCTGAAAAGTGGCACCAAAACTGCGCCGCCAGCCGGTCCTACCGATGGACCTGGTACCTGGCCTAACCAACTAGCCGTTGGGTCTGGTGGGGTCTAAACGAGGCCTGCCGGACCCTAAACTGAACCGACGGGTCCTACGCCTACCTAGACCTAACTGGGACCGTTGTGACCCGGTCACTAGGCCTACCTGTGCCTACTACAGAACCGGGCCCTAACTGGGGCCCGTGTGGTATCAGTATGCCACATCTTATCACCTCCTCTAAGCGGGGCTCTGCACAAGTTTCAAAAAGAAAGAGAAAAACATTACCAAAGCAAAGAAAATGCAGTGAAAAAGCCTCCATCATAGGCGAGCAGACTCACCACAGTGAGCCAAACCTCTTGACCTCCCATGAGATGCTACCATCTCACAGCTGACAGAGACGCTTGCGAAGTCGCACAAGGAGGCCTTGTTAAATGATGCAGAGGTTCGATAAGCATCCCAACCCAACAAGCAGAAGAACCATGGCTGCAACTCGTGCTCCAGGGGGCAATGAGAGCTATAAACGACCCGTCCACTTGGGCATGGAGGCTTTGCACTGCGCACCAAGCTTTTTCAAGTTGCCAGCTAGCGCCGCCAACCATTGTGGTCTGGTAGGCCCAGCTGGGAAACTTTCGGAGCAGACGATGAACAAACTTCTGCAAGGCTGGGGCCGCACTGAGCTTTTCCGACCTGCCAGCTGGCGCTGCCAACCATTGTGGTCTGGCAGGTTTTTTTTTTTTTTTTTTTTTTCAGTCTCCCTTAGAGGGGGGAGGGCTGTGCCACGCTCTGCAGCGGTGCAGTACCTGTCTCTTATACACATCTAGATGTGTATAAGAGACAGACGCTGGAGGGGCCAAGTAAGCAAGCTTACCCATCTGACCCCTCCGTGGCCCAGAAAAAAATAATTTAATACCATGTCGCCCGATGGACCACTGATCAGAACAGATACTACACTTTATCTTAGCCAAAAGGCCGACAAAGGTATTGTCGGGAGACTTTTGGAGTAGACGATGAACAATTTTTTATATTTTTCTTTTACAAGAAAGAGGGCCCTTAGTGCTTTCATTATTATTTAACAATTGAGGCCAAAATGAAATCAAGAGAAGCAGGTGTTGGGATTTATCTCTAGGGACAGGAATGGCCAAATCCAGATGAACAAATTTTTTTATTCTTCTTTTACAAAAAAGAGGGCCCTTAGGGCTTTCATTATAAAGTGAGGCCAAAATGAAATCAACAGAAGCAGGTGTTGGGATTTATCTCTAGGGACAGGAATGGCCAAATCCAGACAGCTACCTTGAAAAGAACACAACCCTGAGCAAAATAAAAGCTGCCTACACGTTCCTGAAAGCCAAACAATCTCAAAAAAAAAAAAAAGCAAAAAAAAAAAGCATAGGAACACCGTACCACCTTACCAAATCAACTGTCAAAATGACCTTGGAAGCCAAACAACCCCCCAATTCATCCTACCTTTCCATCTACTATAGAACTCTTAGCCATCCTCCTGATGATGATGATAAACACACACACACAAAAAAAATAAAAATAAAAAAAAATGCAAGGCCAAAGAACTCACGCCAGCAAAGAAACCACAAACAATTTAACACAGTCTGAAAATAAAGTCTTTCTAAAGAAAAAAAAAGAGAACAGAACAAAAAAAAAAAGAAAGAAAGAAACCACGAGCATTTTTTTTTTATTTTTTTTTTTAATTTTAGAAAAAGAGTCATATTATACAAGCCGGGCCCGGCGTCCCTCACATGTATGCTGGCGGCTCCGGGTTATGAGCGAGGCATCACCGGCCAAGCCCATATCAGGAATCGCTGAGTCCCACAAAGGAAGAAAGCGAGGAACAAAAAAAGCAAGAAGTCTGCAACAAACCGAAAGATGTGCTTCTAACTGGCCCACTAAAATAGCGTACACTTCTAACACTCTTCATACTCATCATTCTCAAGTTATAGATCTAAAAAAGCAAGAAATCAGTTCAGAAATCTACAGAAAAGAACTAAGAAAACAACTAAGAGCTCTGGGAACTCTGCAAACAAGATGTAACCTGTAGCCTGTGCTTCTTTTTTAATGCAAGCATACGACCACATCTTCAGCAGTCAAATTTCAAATAAAGAATCCTGAAAACTGCAGCGTGGGTGCTGTATCATTGTGCATCTGTACCATGACCAATTCCAATTTTGGTCCAAAGGCCTTTTTTTTTTTCTTCTTGTTTCCCCCTCGGACACCACGACCAACTCTGTAAACATGACGCCCGGTCTAACACCACAACCGTTCCAGTTCATTTTTGCCCATTCTATACTGACATGAACGTACTTACCCCTCCCTTTTTTGCATGTAAGAAGCATCATTTGCATCCAAGGGGATAGCCTCTACTCTCGGGAAGGTGCAACAATCCCAAAGATTCAGGCTTTGCGATCCCCCATGTTCCCCTTCCTGTTGGTGGGGAGCTGCGTCTGAGTCAGTCAGTCAGTCAGGATTCGACCTCATGATCTGTTTGATCCACTGTTACATGTCTGTACCACTCAGCCATGACGGTCCCCCGCTGAGTAGAACGGAAGGTCATTTTATCTGTGTACCTAGACAGAGAATTGCATCGTATACAGTTATAATGACCCTATTCTCCATTTGGAAGAGGGTAGCGTTTAATACGGTTCTCCAAGTCTCAGTCTTGGGAAATCACACAGATCATCATTACGGGCCACGTGGGTCATTTGTGGGCCCGTCAGCGGCTGCAGGGGGACCTCCCGCCAGGCCTCCACTGGGGTGCTCTCCGTTTAGGGCGTCTCTTATGGAGTATTTATTTCTGGCATGACCTATTGTAGTAGGGTGAGCGGAGGGAAAAAGAGAGTGTCATCGCCCTCCATGGCAACGGCGCTCGTCAGCTTCCTGTGCTGCAGTCCTTTTTCCAAGATTCCTGCTTCCCTCACGAACCCCTACGGTTCTTTCGTTTTCTTTTTTTGCTAATTCGGATTGTGCTTATTAGTCCGGCATCACCAAGGTTAGCCTGTCCTCCTTATGTACCTGATACGGTCCTCCGCTTCGCCCAAGAGAACCGCACGGTAATAGCCGGGGAAGTACTCGAAAGACTGCAGTCTAGGACTTGTGACACGGAGGTGCCCGAAGCCCCTGGGGAAGGGTATTTGACAACCAGCGATGGCCAGGTGCTCGAGCGAAGGACACAAATCTCCCAACCTATACAGGATCGCAGCACTGACTTGAGAGATTCCGGTCAATCTGAGGGAAAGGAGACTGGGGCAGGTGCTGAGGAAAGCAAGAAATTCTTCCTCGAAATCGCCGAAAAGTGCTCTAGGGTCCGAAAAGAGGTGAAGATGGTGTAAGGACGGACCAACGGGAGAGAGGCTACGGAGGAAAGGGCCACAGGACTGCCAGGCGGGAAGACGAGGCTCCTTCAGAGTGAGAAGACGAGGCCCCTCCTTTTTGTTCTCCAATCCCGGGTCCCGACGTCTACAAAAATACAGATGACTGAGCCTTTTTGACAGGACGGCCCGTCCCCACATCAATTCCATCCGCTCCACTGTCTCCTGATCTACAAAGGGATCAAAGATGCGCAAACCCACCTCCTGGAGGTGTTGATGACGCTGAAGAAGTACCTCTAAGCTCCTCAACGATGGCAAGCGAGGGTAGGCGCACGCTTCTCCGCTGACCTGAGATCCATAGAGCAGAAGCTTAACCAGTCCTAATGTGCACGTTCCACCGGCAAGAAAAGACAACGCGTAGTGTGTGACCCCTGTCTCGTCGAAACACAGCTCGCGCAACTGCCGCCCACCTTCGGCGGCCACAACACTCACTGACGAATCAGTGACGAATCTGCAACGAGAGGCTACCAGAGTTTGCAAGTCAGAGCACGCCCGCACTGCTGCAATAATGCCCCAGTCGGAGACGCGCGTCCCGCTCACGTCGACTTTCCTTAAGCAGACACACTCTACCACGGCAGCCTCGAGCTGTTCATCTGCGAAGTATAAGCTATCTGTCACGCACAGTGATGTCAGGGTTCTTCGTCGTGTAGACTGGAAACAGAAAAAGGATGGGCTTAGCGACTTCTCGTCCTGGTCCCTCCTCAGCAAGGAACTCTCCGCCAGAGACAAGGACGATAACAGAGGGCAAGAGCCATCTTGTAAAGCGTCGGAAGCAGCAGGCCAAAACCCGCAGAGACTCAGGTTCCGCAGCTGATTGCAACCAGACAGGACACGGACGGCCGAGTGATTGACCCACATGTAAAAGTTTGCAGCACCTGTGGTAAGAGAGAGGTCGGTTAATGCAGTGCATCCATAGACTAAGGCTGCCATCGGCCGCTCCTTGAAACAGCATTCGCCATGACTCCTGTTGTTAGCGTCGAGATGAAGCGTCTTCAAGCTCGGACAGTTCTTGGCAATGCTGACGATGAACAATTCGTCAACAACGGGATGACTCAGAGGCAGACGACCCCCGTCAGAAGACGAGCTCCCGCCACTTTCCTCCTCAGAGTCAGAGTCTTCCTCTTGATCTTCCCAATCCGCCACACCCTGCCCGTAACCCCGCAAGCCCAGCAACTCTCTGTCGTCAAGGGGGAAAACGGTAGGGGCGATGTAACGTCCACGATCAGGAGGCAGCCAAATACTGAAGAATTTGTAAATGGGGACAGGATTTTCGTCTTTCCCATAACCGTCCCTTTGGGCCTGCCGCTGTGTTTCCACTTCTTCATCTCCTCCTCCTACTTCTCCTACTCCATCGCTCGGCCCAGAAGCTTCATCACGCGGCCTCTCGCCTTCCCAGAGGCCTTCATCAAGCGGCCGTTGTCCTTCCACTTCATTACCTCCTCCTGCTGCATCGCTGCAACGTCCAGAATAGTCATGACCCTCTTCCCTTGAAGAATCACTGGAAACAAGTTCAGGAAGGAGAGGAGGACAAGGGGGAGGTAAAGGGGGAGGAAGAGGTTGGTGAAGAGAGGGGGGAAGCGGATAATCCGCCCACGCTATGGGGAGGATGTCGACGATAGATTTGAGCTGGGCATGGGAATGGACATCCACCCCGAGTCGCAGAGAAGAATGTGTCCCATGTGGAGGAGAATCGTAAGCTGGCGGAGGAACGCACGAGGTGCGCAGTCTGAACGAGGCCGGTGAGGGAACGTTTCCTATCTTCAAGTGTTCCATTGCGGACAAGATTCTAGTAATCGGTCAACCCACCGATGGTGACGGGGACAAAACACAGACCAAAGTTCTAAGCGCTTGAGCCTCGTTTGCCCAGCACAAACAGCCATCAACGACTCCGTGGTGCAGAACTGTACGACCAACGTCTCTATGTGACCTCTGCTTAGCTCGCCCGCCTTCCTTAACATCGCATCCAAACGACGAGTAATGGACCGACCGCCGAGAATGACGGGCTTCTCTTCCCGATCCTTATATAGCACAAGCCCTTGCCTGTCCACCCACTCCCTCGTGTCAATCTCTCGAAAACATACCGGCCGTCGAGCCACCCTCAGCCACTGACGACATACGCAAGCTGCAGTGAATATTCGCTCATTGAATGGAAGTTTCGTGAAAATCTTCGCTAGCACATCATCTCCCATCTTCCCGAGATCCATTTTTTCACCCAACCACTCTTCCTCACCCTCTCTCTCTCTCTCTCTCTCTCTCTCTCTCTCTCTCTCTCTCTCTCTCTCTCTCTCTCTCTCTCTNCTCTCTCTCTCTCTCTCTCTCTCTCTCTCTCTCTCTCTCTCTCTCTCTCTCTCTCTCTCTCTCTCTCTCCAGTGAATATTCGCTCATTGAATGGAAGTTTCGTGAAAATCTTCTCTAGCACATCATCTCCCATCTTCCCGAGTTCCATTTTTTCACCCAACCACTCTTCATCACCCTCTCCACTCTCTCCCTCTCTCTCTCTCTCTCTCTCTCTCTCTCTCTCTCTCTCTCTCTCTCCCGACCCGCCGGTGTAAGTGAGTTCAATCAGGTAACATCCCGTTTTGATGATCCTGCCCTGCTTGACACTGTTGAGAGGATTGAATCTATCCCTCTTGCCGGCGCCCCTCTATCCTCTTCCCGCCCCGCACCACCCTCGAATTGCGTCATTCATTCGACTACAGCCGGACCCACCAGACTACCACACTGAAATTGCAGAAATGTCTCCCACGAAATTTGTAGTCACAGATCCCTCAAGCACCACCTCCAAATCACCCTCGCCGGCGTCAGTGAGTTCAATCAGGTAACATCCCGTTTTGATGATCCTGCCCTGCTTGACACTGTTGACAGGATTGAATCTATCCTCTTGCCGGCGCCCCTCTATCCTCTTCCCGCCGCTGACCACCATCGGATTGCGTCATTCATTCGAATTCTAGATTTCAGAGTCGTCTCGGCTACAGCCGGACCCAGCAGAGGTAGAAGACGCAAACAAAGCGTTCATTACCGTAATGACAAGGGGGGACAGCGTCCCCAGTGTGCACAAACCCTAAACCGAAAAATGACACTCGAAAGAAAAAACAAAGCCAGAGTGACGACCAACAGGCCTACCGTTTTCACCCCGAATAGAACGCCCGGTCGTTATAGCTGTATTTGATGCAACTCTCAGTCCAGATGCGGCATTAATTACCGGGCGTTCTGTTCGGGTGGAGACGGTAGATCATTTGCTACACCCATGAGCTGTTCAAATACAGACCCAAGTTCGAATCCAGATGCAACCAGATGATCAGAATGATGAGATAATACTGTTTTTTTTTTTTTTTTTTGGGTCCAGAACGAGATAATTCCGAATGACCTCAATGATCAAATCACAAGGCTGTCGCCCTTCCAACAGAACCAAAAAAAGGCAACAGTCTTCTCTATTGACCTTCTGCACTCTCCTCGCGCTTGTTTTCACAGGTCCCGTGCACGACAACCGTTTAATTCAAAGAATCGGCTGATTTCCTATCATGCCGACGTGATAAGTCCGAGAGTTGAGTCAGCCACGTCCGTCGATGGAAAGCAAGAAAGCATAACCAAACGAGAAGACAAAAAAATACATCGCCAGAACTCGCACCAAACAGCAACGGCTTCTCTCGGAGGCGTTCGGGACGGTCAGCGCTGACGGGCGGTGAGTAGAGAGTTCGCGTGTCAATTTAGCGGCTACGGCTTCGTCGCCATAGCCAACGCTTGCCACAGCGACCTCCTCGCCGACATAACCAACACTCCCTGAGCCTGCGAGATCAGCGTCAAACTTCTTCTCCGTCCCCCTTCGCGGCAGAGGAGGATTGACCCACATCATAGAGCAATTTTTAGGACCTCCTATTGGCAATCAGAAGGCCTCAGGAATCGGGTGCCTCCTTGGAATTTCGCATAGAGACAAGAACCGGACCGAGCCCCACATGATGGCCCCAGTAGCAGTCGGATAGGAGTGTGGCCGATCCAGTGCGACACTGAGTGGCAGCGGGCTGACAGGTTCATTACGAATTTCCGGGCTGAGAAAACAGAAGAAAGGCAAAAGAAGAAAAAAGAAACGGGGGGCTCGCGGCTGGGTGGTTAGCGCACCGCTGCGCCACTCCGAAGCGTTGCCGGCCGAAGTTTCTCTCGGTATGACTGAGAACGTTAGGCCCTGTCTCGTCGTCAACCTTGCCATCGCGACAAGGAACGAAGGGTTCTCCATTCCAGCTGGAGCTGGTCGTCAGTATCGAGGTTCCCTATCGAGGCAGCCCATGGCCCAGGTAGTACAATATCTTTGCCATCTTGTTGATCTCATGTGGTTTGACTGCCCCGTATCTGTTGCTCTGAAGTTTAGAAGTCGTCTTGTTCCTCGGTGTGTCTTCCCTATGGGAACCTTCGTCCTGCAACGAAAATATACCAGTGTCATCGAAGTCATAGCTCCCAGTCTTCGCCCCTTCTTCTACAATAGCTTCTTCTCCAAATTATGAGTCCGCATCCCAGCTATCCCCGGTGTCACCTTGCTATCGCGGTCCGGGAGGTATTCGGTGGGGACAATCTGGAGTAAGGTCCTGCCTCATTATACTCGCAGGCCAGTTGCTCTGTAATCTAGCATATTGGGGGAGAGATTCGGTGTTGTATTCGTGCGAGCCATCGTCTTTAGGACCGGGGCTTGAAGTAAGTTGGTCAACCAGGCTGCCCGTCGAGGAATTTGACGCCGCTGAATTCTTTGCCGTCTGCTTGGGGATCGACTGGCGAGCTGTTTTTGGGAGTGAGAGGCCAGCAGAATAGGGTGCTCTGGAATAAATCAGCAATTGAACGGAGGTGCGGCCGTTGCTCCGTTTGGGGGTTCCTCTGGTTGTTGGGTGATAGGTAATTGAGCTAGTTTGGGACATGCTGTTAGTGTTGCTCCTGTGCCTTCTTCTATAAGTAGCTGCTCTTATCGAGTTTTTCTCTGAAGTGCTCTTTCAAAGCCCGGTTGTCGGCTGATTTGGCATCTCAATGGAGTAGCGGAAGTGGATTGATAATTGGTTTCCTCGTTCAATTCTGAAGGTGCCTTGTTTTCAGATAAGTGCTCTGATTCTAAGCAGGGCCAAGCTGTAGGGGGAAGCTGAGGATGGTGTGGGGGCGAGCTCGCTTTCTCTAACCCATATTTCCCAGTTTCCGTTCCCCCTGTGCAGAGATCTTTCTTGTGTTTGACTCCTTAGCTCAACCGAGCTCGGGTTGTCCCTCTTCTTGTGCTGACCTGGGGGTTTTCCCGCGAAGGACTACTGGGGTGAGCTCCGGCTTCATTATGTTCCTTTGACAAGTGCACCTTTAGTAAGACATAGTCGATTGAGAGCTCCCCCCCTTCGTTCCCCCGTTAGCAATCTTCTGTGCAGTGGGTGGACAGAGCAGATTGGTTTTCGTAGTAAGGTCTGGCACAACTCCCTCGATGGAAGTCGATGAGGTACCAGGGGAGGGACCCCCTGTGAATCAAACGAACTTCTGGGACATGGAAGAGCATACTCGGCAATCTATTGGCCAGTGCTACGATGATGGGGTATGGGGTCTTCCAGTTAGCGGCGAATTTAGGGGAGGTAGTGATTGACGAGAAGGGGAAACGGTTCAAAGTGAATGAGTCGCTTGATGAGATTAAAGAAAGAGAAAACTACGGCGCAGTCAGGGTTACAGTTTGTAATTGCATTTGAAACTGCCTTTTATCAGTTTAGTCAGGGCCCGAGTTTCAATTGCAGTTGAAACTCGGGCTGCCTTTTTCTAGCAGTTCAGTCAACCTGAGTCAGGCACATGGCCGTTTCTTTCTTTCTTTCTTTTTT